GCCGTATGTTCTAGTAGTTTTTATTTCTTTGTATTTTTTATTTTAAATAATCTATACAATATAGGATTTTTCTCGTATGGGCATTCGGTGGCTAAGGCATGATTGTGGTTTTGTTTTCGGCCAAAAAGTTAGACACAAGCAACGATGAGTGAGCAGGTGCATTATCTTGATGCAAAATCAACAATTGCGGACGTTTTCTTCGTATTGCTTCTCGCAAACGGTGAATAACTTCAAGGTAATACTCTTTATTGACCGTACGACCTTGTGGTAAGAACTTTTGATGTACTACGCCGCGACAATCAAAGAAAACAGTTAGCAAAACCATGACATTTGATCTTGGCGATTCTGGGTTCTTCCATTGGGGGTTTCAACGTCATAACCATATACCAGTAGCATATCGGGAACATCATTGACGTCATTTAACAGCTCTTGAGCGATGCTCTTTCGACGATCCTTTTGTTCAAAATTAAGCACTTTCGGAACAAACTTTGCTGCTACAGGTTTAATGCCCAAAACTTTGGAAAACATCGCATGGCACGAGGCAATAGACGTACTGCATTCCATTTTTTACAAAAAAATTTATGTAAAAATGCAAAAATTCACCGCGCGCACTAACGCTTGTGTCTCACAAAAAAAAAGTAAACTTCTGTTGTATTCACAAATCTGCTGCCAGAACTAATTATAGAAGAATGTTTTTACTTTATTGCTTTACCGATTTCCAGAACCATTTTTTGTGTCTTTTGTAGCTGTAAATTGTTAGGAAACCAATAAATTAATGAATCAAAAAATAAAAAAAATAAATTAGAAATGAAATTGCTCTCGCAGAATTCTATAACTCCATTTTTGCAAGCTATGCACGAGAAGGGAAATATTTTACATTGACACATTTGACATTGATTACCTGTATTATGATATTCTTTTTATTTTCCTTCCATTTTCATTTTCATTTCATTCATTTCTTTAAATATTTAACAGGGACTTTTTACTCCTCTATTGAAATTTAAACTTCTTACATTAAAGGGTTATATTTATTAAAAAAAAATGTTATTGATACGGTTTTAATACATAAATGGGCACGTGCCATGAATCACAATCACACATAAGTCTCAATTTAGAAAACAACAAACTCGTTAAGTCTTCATTTCCATTAAGCCATGGTTTAAATGCGGCCTGAAGTATCCTGTTGTAAAAGTTTTGTGAATTACATGCCACGTATTGGGATTTACAAAAAAACCCTCACGCAGCCGCACTAGGTCGTCAACTTATGCCAAATCGCATTCATTTTCGAACATTCGGCAATTAAAAAAATTGAACTTAAATCAGATAATCAGCGGCGTTTTTTAGGGTAAATAAGACAGAGACAAGCAAAATAAACGGATTTAATAGATGTATTTCGCCGAAACTAGTGTATCAACCACCTTAACCTTAACCTTAACCGCAGACATTCGTACCTGATCTTCGAGCTTTGACCCTGCGGGGCCGTCTTCACTGGATAATTCAAAAAGGGTAATGGTAAAAGCTGTCCTCTATTTATCCTACAGGTAAGTAGGATAAGTTAGTCACGCGGTCGGTTGTAAAAGCACTATATTTATGGTCGAAGTATAACGGACCTTATCTATGGTCCGCGCCGGTAATATTAAATGACGTCACACCCGCGCCGGTCACAGCCGCGGGTAGCCGTTCGTATACGCATAAATTACCCCCCTACAATGGCCGCCGCAGCGAGCAAATACGACTTCATTAATTAACCGGGTATTTAATTAGTTGTAAAATTAATTGGTAAGCGACCGGGCGACCGACGCAGGGAAAATAAATAAACTGCGACGCAAATAAAGAATCGGGGAACGAGAAAATAATAATAACAACAATAATAATAGTGGTAAAAAAACGCGCTGAAAGCGAGCCGCGTTTACCCACCTGTGGGGCATTCCCACAGTCGCGAGGCTCGTTAAAAATCGAACTCCATAGATAAATAAATCCGATGGGACAGCTGGTTTTGTCTCCGCTTGTGCAAGGCGCGGCTCCCCCCTACCGTCTCCGACAGTTTTAATAAAACATTCTTTTGGTTACTAATCGCCGATCATCTATGCCAATAGATCGCGTCACGAGAGGACGATTTCTCTCGACTAACTAGAACTAGAACGGAGGGGACGGCGCCCATCGACCACCAAATTGTAAAAACGTATATTAAAGAAAATTGATTGGGTTGTTGCCTATGATCTCTATTTTTTAAATCTATCCATCTATCGCGAAAGCCATTTATGATCTTCCAACTATTTAGGATAAAAATCTGAACTTTTGTTTACAGCTTCGCCAATGGGCTCTGCCTCATATTATGACGTTAAAGCATAAAGGCGGTGAATGTGAATTTTAAATAGAACTTCTTCAAGTGCCGTGTCCTCACTAAAAAGAGAAAACAGGGAGATTTACCACATGAAAACATAAGTGGCATCTTCTTCTTTTTCTTCAAGTGCCGTGTCCTCCCAGAACATTGGCGATCAGTCGCATGATCTTCACTTTGTCAGCAGCAGATCTAAACAATGTGGTGGTGCTTACTCCATACCACTGACGAAAATTTTTGAGCCTAGACGTTCTTCGGCGACCAGGAACCTATTTGTCGTCCCTCTATTTTTTTTTGCATGATCAAATATTCCAGCTTGCTTCTTTTAATGTTCATATGTTGCGGAAATGCTTGATTCGTCACTCTATCCACCCACAACATCTTTTACATTCTCCGCTAAGCTCACATTTCGAAAGCCCAGTGAGAGTCTATGCTTCTTACGGCTCTGTTGGTTAACACATTTTGCATGTTCTCGCTTGCTCTATTCCGTCTTCGATTTCTTGAGTTGAGTCCCAGTTTTAATTCATCCAGCACCCCAAGTACTCTCTCCACTGTTTCTCCATCTACGCTGATATCTGGTAAGTTATTAGTTGTGTTTTTGTTTTTGCTGATGCCTATCCGTTTGGTTTTCTTTATGTTTAAGCGTAGACCCATTTATTGGCTATAAAAGTAGCTGTAAATCATCCTCATCTGTTGCTAGTAAGACCGTGTCGTCTGTGTATCTTAAATTACTGATGACCATTCCTTCCCTGAATATTTTTTCTGCATATAAATTAAACAAAAGGGGGAGAGCACAGATCCTTGTCGAAGTCCTCTCAGCATTTCTGTTAACTTTTATGTCAGCTGCCTGGTTCCAGTATAAGTTGTTTATTGTTCAGTATAACAGTGAACAGTGTCAAATGCCTTTTTGTAATCGACGAAGCTGGCAAATACATCAAAGTTCACATTGAGACTTACCAGTATTTTCTTCGTATTTTATGTATATTCTGGAGTGAATGATTTTCAAGAACAACTTCAATACTTTACTATACCATAAAAAGAACGACTTATTCTTGGTCTAAAAGCATTATAAGGTACCATATCTATTTTGAACCTTTTCAAACTTAAAAGTTAAAAACCAGAATAAATACAATTTAATCAAATGTTTAGTAGTAAGCAATGGCGACAACAAAAGAGAGCAGCTGCGCATTATAAAGGCATATTGATGCCGCAATAGTATATTATGCAACAGGTGTGGTAAACGGCATTTAAGTCACCCGTTACGGGTGACTTAAAAACTTTACCAAACCTGTTGCATACTATACTTTTTCTACGACCGTTCGGACATTTCCGGCATATTAACGCACGGGTTTTCGGAGAACTTTGACGTTTGCCAATTCTGACGGTTATGTCAGTTGGCACGAGCGGAGCGAGTGTTTAATAAAATAGAAAACATTATACATCTTACAATACAAATACCATAAATCCTCTCAGTCATAGATAATAGTTCAAATCACCCTTACTCAAAAAAATAGCTACTTTTCATTATTTTACTCCCAGACTCTTCAACATGACAAATAAAATAAAAAAAGATTAGATGAGATACTATGTAATGTAAGCCATTTATAGTATATTATGCAACAAGTGCGGTAAACGGCATTTGACTCACGAGTTTATTTGACACGAGCGGAGCGCAGCGGAGCGACTGTTTAATAAACGCATACATTCATTGACATGATCATCAGAAATGACAAACGTCAAAATTCCAACCGAAATATCTCCGAAAACATCCGATTGCTCCCAAACCGGTGCGGTAAAATCCCGGAAATGTCCGAAGTGGCTCGAATCCGTGGGAAACGAAACTGACGTGGTAAAGTGACGCTTCCCGCACGCTACATCGTTGTGTAATTAGGTATTTTACATGCGGGAGTAGAAAAAAATAATTACAATATTGGCAAACTCAAAAATCGGGACCATTTTGATATTACATACGGCATTAAAAAGTAGAAAATTGAACAATGAAGATTAACAAAATGAGATATTGAAATGTATTGCATAATGACCAAGTAGATTTAAATACATCTCATTTATTCAACTTAAATACCTGGAATAGCAGAAAAGGTCATTAAGGATTGATGGACAAAGTTATTATGTTATATAGTAGCAGATTAAATGGTTATTTATATTAACGTGTAAATAGGATTTTCATCAAGTAAAAGTCAAAATATGTCTTCCCTCAAACTTTCTAGAATATAAAATAACTCGAGAAAGCTATAATATAGAAATTTTTATTAGAATCTAAAAATGTAATAATGAAGTTGGTGGTTGGTTCCCAAATATTTTCAAAATAGAAATCTTAGCAACCTAGGGTCGCAACATAATCAGTCCTCCATATGCTTCTAGTAAGCCATTGGTACACGCTCGCTCACCGCTAATGAACCATGCTCTCTTTCCTTCTTTCGACGCTTCCACTTTCCTGTTAACGTAGGATTAGATTTCTCTTATTTTCTGGTGACCGCCTTTTAGCAAACTTTTTCATATTAAACAACAAGTCATTAGCGTAAAAACCGGTGAAATATACCCCCTCTCAATCTCTCTTCACGTTCATCGCCTAGCATCTGCCGCCGAAACTACAATAATTACAAAACGGCGAATTACGAACACGTTTCCGTTGTTTCAGGGCCCAGGGAAGATGTGGAGTCCAATCTGCCGACTTAGTAGGCCGTTCCTCGCGTCCACACTGTTATCCGGAACAATTTTGTTGGTAAGTTTCGGGACCGCACCCTAAATCCGGCTCGAAGGACCGTATAATGAGCTTTCGAACAAGTTCACGGGCATTGATTGACTTAAGTATACGGTTTTACACTTGATATATACGCCGTGCACTGCAATTAACGATTCGGTATGTACTAACTTTTATATGTTACATTTTAGAAAAAAAAACTAAAGTTGTAGGTATACTTATTAATATTCAAGATGTACCAAAAAATCATAAAATATAAGTTACATTTTAGTTATTTGTTGAATTAATGCCAGAATTAGCAAAAAATAAAATCGCCACCGAGTTGGCCATGCATTTTTTATTTTATTATTTATTTGTGGCTTATCTTGAATATTATTATTGTTTAAAAATGGACAGAAAATTAATATTTATTTTATTTTATTTTATTATTATTGTTATTATATTATTATTTTATTATTATAATAGTATCATATGATTGAAATAAAAGACGCGGCGTTGGCGCGATGTCGTGATGATGCATGGCCAACTAGGTGGAAATTTTATTTTTGGCTATTTCTGGGCCGAATGAAAGAAAAAACAATAACATGTTACATATTTCCGAAATTAGCGGAAAATGACTATTTTATTAAACATAATTATACGGGGCTTCAAAAATATAGCTTCGATATACTCTTATGACACGCCTCGCATATAAATAAGTATTTAAAAAAACTTTTTTTTTTAATGTTCAGTGAAAGGTTAAAGAAGGGTGGCATTTATAGTGGATCACCCCTATACGGTCGAATACATGTGTAGATAAACTTCGGTGGGTACATTTAAATGCGGACTATGGATAGGTAGATTTATTGTTAATAATCGTCGTAGCGGAACACCCAGCGGCCGCCAAGCCGTCTATGGGTAATAATACACGGGCATCTATACGGAGCGACAAAAAAGTCGGAAACTTTTGCCATTAAGGAAACAATTGCACTTAAATTTAATTGCCTGCTCCCCGGCCGTAACAAGCTTTGTTTCCGCGGTCACTTGGCAGACCTGTCCAATTTTTACGGGCCCGCTCGGCCAGGGACGTTCGTCGCTTCTTCCGAGGATAATTTTTTTATTTCCCGACACAGTTTTTTTAGCACTGTTTTCTGTTTCGCTTGCGCAACGTTACTCCTGTCCAGCTTCTTTTCGAATCTTACTTCACATGTGAGGGCTTCACCGTAACGCCCTGCACTGTATAATTCATTCCAAAACGTAATGCATCTGGTTGCTGACAGAGATGTCAAGATTGTACGGTTATAGCTTTCAATCTGCCCGTTGCCCTTTCAACGAACATTATGATCCTTCCGTATCTTTTAAACTCCAAACGGTGACGTCGAGCTTAACCCATCTACGGTTTGCAAAACTACAAAAAATAAAACATTAAAATACAATAATAATCGTAGCAACGTTTTCAAAACCAAAACTTTTCCTAAAAAAAATACATAGGGACTTTCTCTTACACTCCGAAGCCATAGGAACTTTTGCTTTGAAAATGATCAAAAAAGTTTTACCTTAGCACCTTCTTCTTTAACTTTTTCTATGGTTGGTAGATACTATTATCCGAGAGTTCTCGTTTGTCCGTACGTTAGAAACAACCAATTTTTCCTCGTTGAAATAGATTGGTTTCTCCTATATACTAAGGGAAGGCACTAAATTGACTACAAAAAAGCATTGATTTGGGGCGATCATTTTGGAGATGTCCTCTATCATTACAGTTTGTCTTCACTGAATGTCGTGCAACATACGTTTAATTTGAATTCAGCAATTGCAATCCTTTCTCGATCTGAAGAACTACTATTTCTTGTAACGTCTACATTTTTAGCCTGTTCAACAGCAGATAAATTTTGTAGAGGGGGCGTGTTACCGTGACTATTATACCGATTAACATTTGTGTCGCCATTTTTCATATTCCGACTATTCTGAAACTGCAATGCTAGTGCGTCGATTTTTTGAAAACTACTTAGCTAACAGATATCAGAGAGTTACCCTTGACAACGCAAGTCCCGAATTTGTCCCTGTTTGATCAGGTGTACCGCAAGGTTGTGTCCTTGGACCTATGTTATTCTTAATTTATATTTGTGATATTTATACATCCATCGAATATTTGAATTTGCATTCGTTTGCTGGTGACACTCAGCTATTTTACTCCTTCGATCCTAAATTATTTGATATTGCCCATTACCTATGCCTTGATAGTATATTTGTATATAACAATATACAACAATAAAGGCAATTTATTATTATTATTAATTATAGGCCACTTTCAGGAAACGATTCTCGTGTTGGTTTTGACGTATATTTGAAGCCGTTCAACTTATTGGGTTTCAAAGTGAATTCTACTGCATGCACAGATGAGACATATGATTCGTCCACAGATAAAGAAGCATTATATCCGCACCATTAGGAAGAGGGAATTCTGGATAGATTTTCGAGTTCCATGATACGATGTGCTAAGATGATACTACTTCTTCTATAGCTATTATTATTACGAAAAATTCAAAACAGCTGTTGCAGATTTATTTTCGGCCCACAAAATTCAGGAACTTAACTGGATAAAAATTGACAGTACTTTCAAGTATTATTGGCGCCTATGGTTGTCCAACTTATTAGCACATCCAATCCGTCCTAGTTACGAGCCAAATCAGTGACTTTAAGGCACCCCCGCAAACTGCCACGATATCGTTTATCTTTCTTCCGCAGATCATTTTCTTACAACGCTGTTGTAATTTTTAATAGTATACCCGATTCAGTAAAATCGCATTCAATTAAATTCTTTAAAAAATAATTCAGGACGAAACTGATAACTTCTCAAATAATTGAATTTTCAATGTTATTCTTTTCTTTTCTATTATTCCATATTTCTATTACATTTATCTATTATACTATATTTAATTTATCAATGTATTTATAACTTCCTATTTAGTTTTTAGTTTAAACATTTAAGAGGTTAAGCTTTTGCTAGATTTCGCCTCTTCTCTACTGTATATTTGTATATGACAATATACAACAATTTGTTATTATTATTATTTTTATTATTATCATTATTATGGTGGTCTTTTCCCATCAAAACTAACTTAACTTAAAACTGCCAACTGTCGTGAGTTTTATTTTTATCCTTTTTATCACTTAACGAGTTAACTAGTCATATAATTCAGTCTCTCTTAAATAGGCGACGTCTCGTTGAAACTCTTCTTTATTCGGAAAAACCCTAATACAGACAATGGTATGGTACGTAATCGCCCACGTATGTGTAAACAAACCCTTTGATGGCATCACGGTCGGATTATATGCTTTTAAATCTTTCAACCCTGTCATCAGAATATTTAGCCAGTGACGCAGTTACGTTTCACTAATGTTTATTAATTTGACCCGTCGGCGACGCCCATGGCCGCTCGCCACGCACACAACGAACGAATTTATCACATCCAGAGTTATTTAAAAGCGATCGTGATAAACTCAGCTTTATACTTAAGTGTAAGTAAACGTACCTATAACAAGCGTTATTATTTACTTTATTAGCGTAATTTACAACCATCTGCCGGCGTTGTCCAGAAGAATAAATACGTCCATATGGCGGTACTTGCCCAACTGTGTCGGCTAGGCCGACGCGATACGGTTCCGTTGGATTTATTTAGATGAACTGCTAATACCCGGCCTTTGACGTCCTATGGGCACTTTGTCTCGCGATAATTGCCCGGCTCGGTGGAGTCGCGGATTCATGCCACTTTATTGCCAACTTTTCGACCAATTGATTATACCGTTGGCCAAATAAACAACCGTCACTTGAACGTCGACAGTGCCACGCTTTTATTTCGTAATTGCATAAAAACGATGCCGTTTTAGTCGCTAACGTGCCATTTTATCGATGCTAAGGTCCCAGCGAACGGATAATGCTGCTGAAATGATTTGAGCGCTACCGCAAAATGGTTTCACTGGTTAGCTAACGGATTTTTGTATGGCAAAAATTAATTAATTTTTATTTCTTCGTGCGCCGTCGCTAATCTGCAGGGCTGCCAAACTCCATGTTAGGTGCACGTTTGGTTACATACTTATGTTACATCTCTCCCTTAAAAGTCTACGATTTGCAAAAATTCTTGCTTCAGTTGATGCGCAATATCTAACACAGCAGACACTGTGTGCTTTTGTGAGGAAGGTTATATAGTACGGCCAAACATATAGTGCATTTATTCATGTTTATTCTGCATTAAGTAGGTTTTGTCTAAGAACGGCCGTAACGAATATTTATAGATACTTGAAATTTTGATTTGAAGAGTGTTGCGGGCTGTTTTCGAAAAAGTGGAAGCGTTTGCTTTAGCATACGGTGATATGTATCGTTTTTAAGAGTTTAATCTAAATTGCAATGTATTCGTATATATTACGGAGGTATTTGAATGTGATCCGTCCGCTAGGTACGTGTTTATATACCTGACTTTCGAGCTTTGACCCTGTTTTCACTGGATAGTTCAAAGTACGTATCTGCATTCTATTTATCTTCCAGGTAAGTTTTTGTCTTGTGTGCCTGTCGATTAACAACATTCTTCTTGTATTTTTGTGTCTTCTACATAGTTCTTCGATTTGTAAACGACAACGGTCATTTTTAGGACTTAACATTTTTTGAAGGTTCATATTTTTTAACCCTTTCAAATGCCGATTTAGAAAACGAACTACTTCAGCAATTAAAAAAAAATTGCAATTGAAAAATTGTCCGAAACGTTCTGTAAGTTAAAAATAAAGACAATGAAAGTTCGACATCCTTTTATGTCAAAGATTCAAGTGTAGATAATGCCTAGTATCATTCAACCCAAATCCGAAAAATTCCAAATACTTCTTCAAATAAAGAAGAAATTAAAGAATTTCTGTACGAAAATGATTTATATTTTGAAGGGAGCTACACGAAAAAACAACTTCCTGAATTACATGTTTCAATAATTGCTCGGCGAGAAAGATTGAAAACAGACTTATATGCCGCTTGTTAGTGTAGGTAGATAAATTCCTAG